GGAGGGGAGGCGTGAGGGGGGAGGATTGGGTGGTGGGGAAGTAAGGGGGAGGTAGGGAAGGGATGTGAAGGGTAAACAAAGGAGGAAGCTGCAATGCTTGATAAGAAATGTATGCATTATCCTGCCCATGTAATTGTAACCCCTCTGTACAGTATGTTCACAAAAAAATAAAATTAAATTAAAAAAAAAGAATCTGCAGAGTAGCCACAACTAGAGGATGGAGCATTAGATGTAATGTCAATTCAGCTTACACACATGATTGTGCAGAGAATCTGATAGACAACGGAGAACATTACAGTAAGAATCTACTTAACACTCATTTACTTACATAGACAGTGATAAAGTAATCAGCTTTTCAGCAAGTGGGTATGCATTAACACATTTATAAAATTAAATTTTTTCCCTCTCATTCAGCTTGAGAAGACCTTTTAATAATGCCTATAAACAGAATAGAAAGGAAAGATGATCACAGTAGATGCAAAAAAAGTGTTTTATCAATTAAACAGTTATTCATGTTAAAAATTAAAGCATTTAAATGTTGAGAAGAATCTTATAACTGATAAAGAGCACACAATTACAATGTAAAACATTAAGAATTAGATATACTTAATAATCTCTATAAAGTAGCTAACAAGCACCCATAATGTTGTACTTCATGATAAAACAAACAGTTTTCCACTGAAGTGAAGAATGAAACAAGAATGCCATTATTACTATCTCCACTAAACACAGCCCTTTGAGACATCTTAATGTGTAAGTGTAAGTACAGGGATTTTTAAAAGTGAAGAGGAGAGGGCTGGGAAGGTAACTCAATGGTAGAGTGCTTGCTTCGCATGCATGAGATCCTGGGTTTGATTACTCAGTACCACATAAGTATAAAAAGCTGAAAGTGGTGCTGTGGCTCAAGTGGTAAAGTGCTAGCCTTGAACAAAAGCAGCTCATGGATAGAACTCAGGCTTTGAGTTCAAGCCCCAGGACTGGTTAAAAAAAAAGTGAAGAGAAAAAAAATAGTCTTTATTAGAAAATTACAGAATGGTCTATATGTGCAATGTTGTTAACAAAAGTAAATTTTTTTTAAAAAAGCATGGTTCCTGGATAATGATAGGCTTTTTACACAACAGCAATAATCAATTAGATTTTCTTTTCAGTTCTGAAAATGAACTCAAGGTCTCATGTTAGTCCTGAGCTATACCTCCAATCCTTATAAACTGTAAGTTAAGGAATAACATCTTATAAAATTTAGAAAACTGGATAGGCTATTATATAATAAAAAGAAGGTATAAACTTAACATAAAAGAATCACAGAGCATTTATAAAACAAAATATTGGGTAAATGGGTAAGAAAATTATGTTCTTGGTTTAGAAGGAATTTCTCAAATATGTAAATTCAATACTGATATTTAATCAAAATCCAAATACTAATTTTATGGATTTTGGATTGCTCATTGCAAATTTTGTAAGAAAGAATGAGAGCTAGTCAGTCATAGTTAAAGTAATTATAAGACTAACATTCCAATTTTTTTGTGGAAAAAACTGTACAGAGGGGTTACAATTACATGGGCAAGATAATGAGTACATTTCTTATCAGTCATTGTTGCCTCTTCCTTTGTTTCTATTTCCCATCCCTTCCCATCTCGGCCCCCTGTCGTCGTCCCCCCCTTCCCCGCCAAAGTTGTAAAGTTCGTTTTTCGACATAACATCTGGTACATCTCATTGTGGCAATGGGTCCACCTGTATCCCTATTTAAACAATTGGTTTTTTTCCCTTCCCCTCCACAAATTACACCTGTTGGGTCTTCGTCAGTCTTTGGACAGACCGGGTCCAAGGAGGGGTAAGTGAGGCTGCTTGCCCTTTCCCCAGCCTCCCTTAGCCCAGGAGACAATCAGATGCAGCAGGGAGTCAAGTCAAGCAGGAACTCGTTTATTAACACAGAGCATCCCCTTTTTAAAGCAAAAGACTGTGTGGGAGGGGAGTAAATGGAACCAACCAATCACTGAAAGGCCACACCTTAATATGCACCTAAGCTTCCATGAGTTGTTTACACACTGAACCTGAACAAATCCAGCTCTGCCCACTCAACTTCCTCTCAGGGCCATCTTTGCTACTTGTGTTCCCCACAGATTTCCCCACATACACCAACATCAAATACAGTGAAAACAGGGGTTATACTGTGGGGGAGGGACATACAAAGCAACAAAGAAATCATCTTATAAATATGTTAGAAACAATAGCAAGAAAGAAAAACTATTTGAGTCCTTATCTTGGGGTTCATTTCACCTAACATCACCTTATCTGACTGTTTCTGCTTGTCTCTGACATATACTAGTTATTGCAAATAAGGGAAACCATGAGACCTATATTTCTTTGGGCCTGGCTTACTTCACTTAATAGAATTGTTTTCAAGTCTTTTCATTTCCTAACAAATGGGCAATGTCATTCTTTCTGATGGAGACATAGAATTGCATTGTGTATATATACCACATTTTCTTGATCCATTCATTTACTGAGGGGCATCTGGGTTGGTTCCATATCTTGTCTTGGTAAAAAATGCTGCAATAAACATAGTTGTGCTGGTAGCTTTAGTATGGTCTTGTTTGTGATCATTTGGGAAAATGCCCAAAAGTGGGATTGCTGGGTCATAGGGGAGTTCTATGTGAAGTCTTTTGAGGAACCTCCTTAACACTTTCCAAAGTGGTTAAACAAGTTTACACTCCCACCAACAATGTAGTAAGGTTTCCTTCTGTCCACATCCCCTCCATCATCTGTTGTTATTAGAGTTCTTGATTATAGCCATTCTAACTTGGGTGAGGTGTATCTCAATTTTGTTTTGATTTGCATTCTTTTATGGCTAGGGAGTTGAGCATTTCTTCATAGAAGTTTCTCTTTAAGTCTTTAGCCCACTTATGGGGCAGTTGTTTCTTTGAGGATTTGGGCGCTGTTGCTATCTCCTCAGCTCAAAGCTAGTGCTCTACCACTTTAGCCACAGCTCCACTTTCCGGTTTTCTGGTGGTTAATTGGAGATAAGAGTCACATGGATGTTCCTGCCCAGGCTGGCTTTGAACCACAATTTTTAGATCTCAGCCTCCTGAGTAGCTAGGAGACAGGCATGAGCCACCAGCGCCCAGCACCAAATTTTTTATAAGTAAATTTCAAAAAGTTTAGAAGAATGTAAAAAGAATATTTTATGATCAAATGTTGGGAAGAATCTTACATGTAATGAAGCAAAAGACATAAAATTACAATGTAAAAAAATAAATTAATCAGTATCATACAGTATAAAGTTTTTGATCATTCCAACACTGTAGGAAGTGAAAAGACAATTCACTAATGATGATTTACCACATACAGAGATAACAAGTATTTTACATATAAAAACAAACACCATACACAACCAAGACAAAACAAAATGAGACAAAATTGAAAGCAGCATTTTCACAGAAACCTTATCAAGCATGTAAACACAGAAATGTCCTTCCCCATTAGCAATGAGAGGCAGGCTTTAAAATGCAATTATTATTTTTTTTTCGGGGAAAAAACTTCATAAAGGCCTAACGATAGCAGGTATTACCAGATGATGATATACCAAGCCAAAAGTTAACGGGAAATGGATTTTTACTTTAAGGAATTTCAGAACCTGAATACATGATGATAAATTAATAAGAAAAATGAAGTTTCATATATGTAAAATACCAAATCAGGTAAACCACCCTCTAAGCAATTTTACAAATACTTTTTTAAAAGCAAGGTAATATGAAATTCAAAATTTAAAATAAAGGTGATAGGAGGACAGAGAGGGCTTTTGGAGAAACTTAGGAACTAACACTAAAAATTATAACTTAAGTTTTGTACTAGGTACTTGTTTATTCTTTTCATAATTCTTCTTTAAAATGTCCAAATACAAAATATAGTCAATATATGCATATTAACAAAAACAATTAAAACTGGCTTTATGAATTCCAGTGAGTTTTAAGGAGAAAGACTTCACAAAACTTTTTTCATATCAGAAACATCTGTACAGTCGTTGACTTTGACTCCCTGTTACTATGTAACCAAAACAAAATACAGAATTCTCTTGGCTTGGGAGGCTGATGTAAGATAGAAACCCATAACTGTAACCTTTAAGACAAAACGTTTTATCTTCCTTCCTGCCTTAAACTCTCCTTTCAACCCCAAAGCGATTTGAATATATTGGCTAATTTAACATGTCCCCTTTAATAGTATTGTTGCGCTTCCAAGGAAAGACCCATTACAAAGCAAACCCAAAGAGGACAAAGGTTTTCATTTTAAAAACTTGGAAACAATGGACTGGAATTTAAAGCAACCTCACACTAAAAGAAAAAAAAAAGAGTGAAAAAAAGCAGAACGCCTTTCTTCTTTTTAGGACTTCTCAGAGGAGTCTTAGAACACAATTGAGGATCCAGAAGTGGATCATCTCACTTTGGAGAAAGTAATAAGACCCCAAAGTGACTTAAGCCCTTGTCCCAGCTAGTATTAGGACTCACAGAGGAAACGTAGGCCCCGCCCTCAAGGACCCGCCCCCAACTGGACACGCCCACCCCGACTCTTTTGGTCCCGCCATGCAGACCCCGCCCCCAGGCTTCCGGAACGCCCTGCGCGAGTCTCTCGGGAGGCGGGGCTGCCGGAGCCGTGAGAAGGACCTGTGGGGCTTCACGGTCCTCCCACGAAAGAGCCAGGTCCGCCCAGTCCCTGCTCGTGGTCGACCTCCGACCCCCGACGCCCGACCTCCGCGCTCGGTGAGTAGCTTCAGGGTTAGGGACCTGTGGACGTATTTGCAGCGGGCCCCGCCCGCGCCTGCGCGCTCGCCTGTCAGGCAATCTGCTTGGCTGGGCCTCATCCGCGCCCTTTGACCCCACCGTCCCGGCGGCCGCGGGAGCCGCGGAGCGGAGCCTGGGGTCCCCTCCCCCCCACATGCTGCTGCACTTGCGCTCCTGCTTTTGTCTCGTTCGGTTTTAATGCTTCTTTTCCGCCTGATCCCGCCGCACTTCCCCTGGGCCGCAGCCTCAGAGCCAACCTCCTGTCATCTCACTTTCCCGCTGCTCCTTGAGCAAGGACAGATAGGAGCATGTGGGGGCGCCTTGTCTTCGAACCCCGATGTTGAGTCCCGCATTAGAGGCAACTGGCTGGCCGAGGGGGAGCAGCGAGGCTTAGGGTCCTGGGTGACGAGGTAGGTTGCCCTTGCCTGCCTCTGCGGGCTTCAGGACCGATGGGGGGAGGGGCGGGGTTAGAGGTCACCCAACCTGCCCCACCCCTCCCTACCCCATCCCACCCTGAACCCCAGTCCCACATTACCCCCACCCTACCCATCCCATCCCTCACCCCACCCTGTCCTACCTCTACCCCCATAGGGTCATCTCTCCACTAGTGGCCATCCATCCACCAGTCCAAGCTCAGTTTTGTACACTTCAGCTAAGACTCCCAGTCCAGCAGAGGAGGACAAGTATTTTTTCCCTTTTCTGAAGAAACTACTCCAAATATAGGCAGTTACAACACAATAACCGTTTGTTGAGGCAAGATCCTGCTGTTAAATGTTAAGGGAAAATGAAAATGTTGTAGTAATTAGAACAAGGGAGGATAGGGTTTATGTGACTTTAAAAAGACAAATGGAACAGGAAGCTGGTGTCTCAAGCCTGTCATCCTAGCTACTCAAAAGGCTTAGCTTTTGAAGATCAAGATTCAAAGCCAGGGGGGAAGGAAAGTGCATGAGACTCTTATCTCCAGTTAAACACCAAAAAGCCAGAGGTGGAACTAGGTGTGTATCAAGTGTTAGCATGAGCAAAACATCTCCAGGACAGCATACCCAGGCCTTGAATTTAAACCCTAGAATGAACACACACACACACACACACACACACACACGCATCATATACACCCATACAAATGGGAAGTAATAAATATAAAGACAAATGGGATTGGGAAGATAGGCTGTAAAATTCAAGATAATCTAGATATTGGTGATCACAACTCTGGCTGTTAGTAGGTCACTTTCATCACAATACATTGCTCTTGTTGAACTCTTCCCAACCTCTGAGAAAAGGGTAGAATGCTGGGAAATTTTGTAGATTTTCCATTCACTATCCATAACATATTTCCAAAGGTGTTATTCCCCTGAATAGTGAGTGCATGAACACAAAATAAATGAAATAAGGTTTCATAAGTTAAATGTGGGTCACGAGGCCTAGAGGAGGTAATGTTGACCATTGCTGAGGTGGAAACATGATTGGAGTCTCTCAGCAGCTTGCATCCAGGTCACAGAACTTAACTGTGTTATGTTGTCTGAACTTCATTTCTCTAATGTCTTGTAGGAAGGCAGAATAGGATGGAGGCGCAAAATGGAGAGCCTGATTTACTCTGCTATGGCTAGTTTCTTCACCTCTCCATTGACTATTTTATGTTATTTATCAGCCCAAGCATTGAAAAGGTAATGGCTCAGTTTCATCACCGGTAAAGTAGCCTAAAAAAGGGTTTTTCTTTTTTTTTTTTGTTTTTGAATTTTAAAGTGGAATTTTTAAGTGGTGCCTGACAGAACTTCTGGATATGTTTATAGTGAAACGGACTTAGACCTGTACAGAAACTGATTCTGAAAGTCCCAGATGTCTTTTCCTATATTTATCCCTTGTGACTTATTTCAGAGTAAAGTTAGAAGAAAACTATCAAGAAGGCAGTAGCATATAATTTAATTGATAATAATTTTAAAATGAGGACTTTTTATGACTGTCTAAGTTCCATGATAGCAGAAAAGTACTGCTTAAATAACTGACATCACATTATACTGGATCTCTTAGCTGCCCAGATACAATAAATTCTGACTAAAATTTGTTATACTTCCATTTTTTAGGTTTCTTTCCTTTTCTTCCCCGTTTTCTTCTTCACTTTCCTCCCCTTGTATTTGCTTTTTAATGAAATCATTACACTTTCTGACATTATTTTCAAGATTAGTTAAGCATAGTGGAACATATCTATAGTCCCAGACCTCCAGAGGTTAATGGGAGGATGATGAGTTTGAAGCGAGCCTGGGCTATGTAGTGAGACCTTGCCCTAACCTACACCCCACACTAAATACTTTAATAACTTCTGGAATCAGTAGGGTTTTTTTTTTCATTTTCTATGAGTCTTCAGTATTCATATTATCATTCATTTCCTTAAAATACTGATACTAGACAGAGTTTTCTTTTAAATTCCTTCTGGTTTTTTTGAAGTCAAAAATAAATATTGCTAGGATTTTCTCAACAAGAGGTAGCTATTAATGTTTTAAGTGTATTTCCTCATTTTATGTGTATGATTAAGGTAGTACAAGTCATATATCCACATGTTTTATCAGAATTCTTAAGAGTATAGATTTTTGGTTTTCTCAATAATTTGGGATTTTCAAGATAAAAAAATTATAGAGGCATATAACCTCATGTTTTTCTCATATTCACAAATGTCAGTATTACAATAGCTAAGACAATGTAAATGCTATATAAGTAGTTTTTGTACTGCATTGTATTGAAAATGACAAGAAAAGAAACTATACATAGTTATAATACAGAAATGTCTTTTTCTTTTCAGATACTGTCCATCTGTAGTTGGTTGAGTCATAGATACATGACTCAGAGATAGAAACTATTCCCATTATATACAGTGTTGACTCAGAGATAGAAACTATTCCCATTATATACACACATACATGTGTATTCACTCAACATGTATTTACATGTGTATTTACATACATGTGTATATATGTTTGCATATTTCCTGTTTAATAGATTGTTCATGAGTAGGTAAGATTAATTTTTTATTAGAATACCACAGCAGTGATTCTGTCATTCTCTTTGAATACTCCGTAGAGAATCATTATCATTTTGATCATTTGCTTAAGATCATGGATTCTCTATTAACTTGTATTTCCCTTTGTGATTAAATATAGCCTGAAGGAATGTTTTGCTAGTATGTAGATACGCTATTGTTTCTCATCAAACTTATACTGGTTTCCTTAGTATATTGATGATTCTAAGTAATTCATAAAGGGCCCAAATTATATTCTCACAATCATCTATTCTATGAAGTACAAAATTGGCTCTGGTAGGAGCCACTGTTTGGTGGCTGGTAGGAGCCACTCTCTGCTTCCAGATTCCCTTAGGAAATAGCAGAAGAGAACAAACCTAGTTTGTCAAACTCTTTATTTTGGCAGACCTAACCATCTCCCTTTGGGGTCTCTATTTTAACACTGTTGACTAAGATAATAAATATCTAACATGAATTTAGGGACACACAGTCAGACTGTAGCATCTGGTTGTTGCCCCAGTATCTAACTTTTGATTAATCATTATTTCTTCTATTTTCATATGTACACAAAAAGCCTTATTCTATTTTATTTTCAAAGTACATTAAAACCTGTAACTATCCCTTTAGTGATGTCATTATTTAGCTTTAAAAATTAAATTAAAAATTAAAATTAAAAATTAAACTTAAAAATTGACATTAAGAGAAGGGGTGGGTTGAAGGGAAGTGAGAATATTGAGGGGATAACACTGATCCAGATGCAAAAACTGCTTTGTTAAGTGGCACCTCCTTTGTACAACTACATAAAGATAATAAAACATAAAAAGAAAATCCATTTTATGAAAGGACTTTTATGTATTCGTGTATATTTCCTTTCATTAGGTATGATTTATAAAGTTTAGATTTAGAAAATTTCAGTCTATATATATATTCTTCTACTGTGTTGAGGAGTGACTGTAGGTCATGCCTATAAACCTAGCTACTCAGAAGGCTGAGATCTGAGGATCAAGATTTGAAGACAGACAGGGCAGATAAATCAGAAAGATTATTATCTCCAGTTAATCACCAAATTGCTAGAAGTAGAGGAGCACAGATCTGTAGGTAAGAACCAGTATCAGTATCAAACACAGGTATATATTCCTTTGCCATGTCTATTCACATGATCCAAAATATATCTCATTTTTTTAAAGTAAAATTCCCAAAAGTTTATATCTAGCTAGATATAATTGATAGTCACATGATGATTTTACAAATCACTACTGCCATTTGATATATGTGTTTGACTAATCACGTCATATGTTCTGTGTACATATGTATATATTTTCTTCCTTTGTAATGTAATGACTAAAGTTTTCTTTCCCCTTATAATATATCAGAAAATACTAGTTGCTAATGATTTTTTTTTCTCAAAAATTGCAGCAAAACATTTGCTAGAGGTTAAAGCATGTCATCATGGCAAAATTCCGGAGAAGGACTTGTATCATTTTGTCACTTTTTATTCTATTTATTTTCTCTCTGATGATGGGTTTAAAGACATTGAGGCCAAACACAACTGCCTTTGGAGCACCTTTTGGACTTGACCTGCTTCCTGACCTTCATCAACGAAGTATTCATTTGGGAAAAAATTTTGATATACAAAGAAGTGAAAGAACCAATAATGAACCAAACACCAAGAATTTAAAAACTGTTGAAACCACTATGAAACCTTCCAAAGCCTCTGAACTTAACACAGAAGAATTACCACCACTAAATTACTTCTTACATGTATTTTATTATAGTTGGTATGGAAATCCACAATTTGATGGTAAATACATACATTGGAATCATCCAGTCTTGGAGCATTGGGACCCTAGAATTGCCAAGAATTACCCACAAGGGAGACACAATCCTCCAGATGACATTGGTGCTAGCTTTTATCCTGAGCTGGGAAGTTACAGCTCCCGTGATCCTTCTGTCATAGAAACTCACATGAGACAAATGCACGCAGCTTCAATTGGTAATTATTTTATTTTCATTATATTCATGTGCATGTATGCGAATAAAAATACTGCATTGGGCTATTCAATTACTAATTAATGTTCAAACTATTGTTAATTATATTGTTAAACTCATAGCTCCAAATTAAAACATACATATAGATTTTACAAATCAAGGTAATTATCTTTTAACACTACCTTTAAAATACGCTGTTTAATTTCCTAAATTTTCAAATGTTTCTTGTTATTTCTTATTTTTAATTTCATTCATCCAATTTATGACTTTATATCATATAAGCTCTTCCAGAGATACTACATCCTAATCAAGAAGTAAAATAATTTATAATCTAAAATGTTTCATCATGATTGCTTTATTCATCTGTAGCTGCTACTCTCAGGAAGGCTGTGAATCTCATTTCTATTACTTTAGAGGTATTGTGACTGTTATATTATTTCATTAAAAATAGACACTATTTTTTTATATTGTCTTATTTTGTTTAGCACAATATTTTTAACTTCACCAATGTGGTTAATGATGTAATCGTTTTTATTCTGAAGTAGTCTTCTGCTTCTGTTAGATATATTTTCACAGTAGTGAATAGTAACATACTTCCCTACCCTGTTTTGCATAGGTGATAAGTGTTCCAGTCAAAAATTACTACAAGAAAGGAATAAACTGGTCTGTGATGTTAGAATTAGATATGTGGAATTTACACTTGATACAATGACTAAAACTGAAATACAGTCATCCTAACAAAGAACCATAAATATTCTTTCCTGATTTTCTTTTCTGAGCAAAGGTTAAAATTGAGATGGTTAGTATTAAGAGAATCAGGATAATTTGGAAGTTATTAGTAGGACTTGGGTGATTTTTTGTATATTTGCTGTCTTGTATGTAGATATTTCTACTCACATGTGTTTTACCCTGGCAATGTGTTTAGTTTAATGACCAACAGAATTTTTTAAGATTATTTGTGTGTCAAATGCCAATCATGAATTAGAGTATAAGGATGGAAGAGGAAATGTAAAAACAATAAATGAAATACTAGCAAACTATTGTAATGCTTTGATTTCCATTTTAGAAAAAAAATCATACATAGTAGACAGAATTGGTAGGGATGAACAAAGTGTGAGGGAAAAACAATGAGTCTGTTTACAAAAGGAACTAACGTATCAATCAGTAGTCTATATAATGGAGTTTTTATCTCATACTTTGGATATCCTTCAAATAAAAATAGTTTAATAGATAATAAAGGTGCAGAATAGAGGTTAGCTTGATCTTAAGTCATTGAGAAGTGAGAACTGATGAGGTCCATGTAATAGCCTGTACATATTATTTCCTCTTCATTTTGCCTCAGTAATTCTTTATTCTTTAACTTTTGGGCTTTAAGATATTTCTTGTTCTCCATGATTTATTTAATAATCAATATTGTTTTGAAAGGTAATGTTGGTTTACTATTATGCCATCCGTTTTAGAAATACTCCACTGTCATTAAAATCACAGATCTTGTTCTGTTGTAATTTCATGGAAGAATGCTTTGTTTGTTTTCATGTTCCATGCCATAACCTTTCTGTCGAGTGCTATTCTTTTAATTTTTTCCTGCCATTTCTTTTATGGACCACTATTGTCAAACATTGCATTGATAGGAAAAATGACTAATAGGCAACTCTAAAGTTTGATCAATTTTCTTCTGTCATTTTTATTCTTATCAATCTTGTCAAGATTATGACTCCCTGTTTGGCTAAATACAGCTTTCCTGAAAGTCTAGTATAGCATTTTAAATACTTTCCTAAATTTTTTTTAATTTTCATTTTCAATGGATAGAAAACAAAGAAATCTACTTTTGTGTTTAATGCAAGTCTGGTCTTGTTCTGTAGGTGGAAATGCTTTATACTTTGCACTGTAAATAAATGTAAATTTAAAACTAAGGCTTAGTTCTCTGAAACTTTCTTGCCCTGTACTTGCTAATTCATAAATATTTCTCTTTAAGTATCATTACTCTTTTCTCTCCATACTGAGAAGTCTGCTGATTAAGACTAGTTAAGATTAAGAAATGGTTATGAAATTAAGAAATTGATGATGAAGAAGTCTGTTGATTAAGAAATGTTTCTAATGGTGTGTCTCATTTCTTCAAATTAGTTGGTCATTAGACTATCTCCAGTTAATAATTTTTCTGTGCAAACTGTTATTTTTAAAGCTTATTTTGCAATTTATCAATACTAAAATGAAAGGTGCTATAGAAAAGAACTGCATTTATTTCAGTTCTTTCAAATTTTCTTTTAAAAGATAGTTGTCTGTATTAGTTCAGTCTTTATAGAATCTTTATAATTATTCCAAAGCAAGTATGCACAGTAATAAGAAAAGAGCTATCAATTAAGACATGAAGAAACTACAATGAAAATTACTAAGTGAATGAAGTCAGTATGGGAAAGCTACATGCTCGTACCAGTTATATAGCACTCTGGAAAAATCAAACTTTGACAGATGGTAAAGTATCAGTTATTGCCTGGGGTCAAGAGTAATGGAAAAATAATGAGGTGAAATATAAAGTGTTTACAATAAAACTAATAGGTCTAATGCTGTAGAAGTTGGCAAATGAAACTTTGTACACATTTGTTGAAGTATATACTTACAATATTAAAGATGAATCCTAAGATAACTAAGTAAATGCCAATGTAAACTGTCGTTATTTAATAAAAATGTATTAGTATCTATTCATCAGTTATAACAAATATTGTTATACATACAAGAGCTTTAATGTCTGAGCTGTTTTCCTGTAATCCTAAAGCTTATTCTAAATTAAAGTACAGTATATTATATGAAAAAGATTAATTCTTATAGAATAGTAATCAAGCACCCTTATATAGTTTGATGAAAGTAATAAGCTCTTATATATTTTTCTATTTTATGAACTCATTGTTAAGCACTTTGTCTTTTTGTAGAACACCTGCAGTTGTTTTTGCTCATATTTCTCTTCTCTCTCCCTCTCCCTACCCCTCCTAGGTGTATTAGCCCTCTCTTGGTACCCGCCTGAATTAAAAGATGAGAATGGAGAACCTACTGATATGTTGGTACCAACTATATTGGACAAAGCTCATAAATATAATCTGAAGGTACTAAATTTATTATCAAGCTATATGTGGTTTAAACGCTTTCAGATAAGGGAAAGAACTAATTTTTTTCATTTTTTTATTGTAAAAATACTGTAAAGGGCTTATAGTTACATGAATAAGGTAATGAGTACATTTCCTATCAAGCATTGTTACCCCCTCCTTTATTTTTGCTCTACTATCCCTTCCCTGGCCACCTCCTCAACTCATCCCCTGCCCCCCAGAAGTTGTAAATTTGGTTTTCAACATAGTGTCTTGTACATCTCATTGTTGGAATGGGTCAACCTGTATCCTTGTTGCAGCATTTTGTTATTTCCCTTCCCCTCCCCCAATTAGAAACATGTACATACAAGATGCAGGCAATGGAATCAAATACAGTGACAACAAGGGTTATACCATAGGAGAAGAACATTACAAAAGAAACAAAAAAAAATCACATAGTCCATTAAAAACAACAGCAACAAAGAAAAAAACAATTGTTTCCCTATCTTGGGGTTCATTTGCTTAGCATCATCTTATATGGTCATATGTATATAACTTTTGACTTTTTCTGCTTGTCTGATAAGATTATCCTAGATGTATACTAGTTATTGTAAATAAGGGAAACCATGGGACCTATGTTTCCATGGGTCTGTTACTTCACTTAATATAACTTTTTTCAAGTCTTTCCATTTCCTAATAAATGGGGTGGTGTCATTCTTTCTGATGGAGACATAGACTTCTATTATATATACATATGTGTGCTTGTGAGTGTGTGTGTGTGTGTGTGTGTGTGTGTATACATCACATTTTCTTGATCCATTTATCTACTGAGGGGCGTCTGGATTAGTTCTATATCTTAGCTATGGTGACTAATGCTGTGCTAAACATACCTGTGCTGGTAGCTTTAGTATGCCCTTGTTTGTGATCATTTGGGTAAATGCCCAGAAGTGGGATTGCTGGGTCATAGGGGAGCTCTATGTGTAGTCTTTTGAGGATCCTCATATTGCTTTCCAGAGTGGTTGAACAAGTTTATACTCCCACCACCAATGCACCCTTTTCATCCCTGCCAGCATCTGTTGTTAGATTTCTTGATTATAGCCATTCTCACTGGGGTGAGATGGAATCTCAATGTTTTGAATTGCATTTCTTTTGAAAGCCATCCTCTTCAGTAAATGGTGCTGGGAAAATTGGTTAAACACCTGTAGAAAACTAAAGCTAGATCCTTATATATCACCCTGCATCAGAATCAACTCTAAATGAACCAAAGATCTCGAAATAAAATCAGATACCCTGAAAACATTACAGGGAAGAATAGGAGAAACTCTAGGGCTCCTAGGCACAAGTCGAAATTTTCTTAATAGAGATCCAGAAACATAACAAATCAAAGAAAGGTTGGACAAATTGGATTGCATGATACTGCAGAGCTTCTGCATGGCACAGGACATAGTAAGATCAATAGAAAGCCCACGGATTGGGAGAAGATCTTCTCTAGCCCTAGAACAGACAAGGGCCTCATTTCTAAAATATCCTTATAACTTGAAAAATTAAATCCCCCAACAACAAATCCTCAAAGAAGCAACCACCCCTTAATAAGTGGGCTAAAGACTTAAAGAGAGAGTTCTATGAAGAGGAAATAAGAATGGCCAATAGACACATGAAGAAATGCTCAACTTCTCTAGCCATAAGGGAATACTTTTTGAAGTGATCATTTTCATTAAAAACTTGTTAAGTCTGAAATTAATGAGAATATTTTTAAATATCACTGCTTCATAAAGAAAATTCATATAATTTGAAATCAAGACTTGTCCAAATTATCAAATTCAAGCTCCTTTACAATTTTTCTGTTTGTGCTATTGTATTTATTGCTTAATTTAGCAAGAAGAAAGGATTGATGGGTTCTTTTGTGTAGGCAGTGCAAACACTTGTGAATATTTATTTCTAAACATCTTAAATGCCAAATGTCTCCTAATGCTGCTATACCATATATCTTCCAGCTCATTTAAAGTGTCTGGAAAGCAAACTGCTATATATTTTTTGAAAAATTCTGATTTCCATTTAAACCTTGATATACATTCACATACCAGTTTACATTTAGAAAGTAGGTTAAAGACTAAAGAAAATTGTAAGATCAGATATTAATGAGGAGTAAGTTTTCTCCAGTGATAAGACTTTCTTTTTTTTCTAAAATTAATCATATTAACAAATAGGAATGATAGTTGAAGAGATTTAAATGATGTTGCAATAAAAAATTTTTTATGGGAAAATAAGAAAATAAGCTTTGTTTTCAAAATTCAAGGACCTTCAAAATTTTGGTTATATGTAGCTAGTAGCATTAATCTTAATTTATAAAATTTATATTTACAGAGTATGTTTTAGGAGCACTTTTTGCCTATCAATCTGTAAGTAAACATGTTGGGTGGTATGCAAGTGTTTATAAATGTATGAACTGATATATTGTAGGGTCTAGTGAGAACTCTTAATTCCTTAGAAAGTCAAAGTCAAGACCCAATAAAATAAGCACAGGAAATAGATATTTGCAAATGAGGGGTTGGGTCCAAGGGAAGAGGGATAAATGAAAAAAAATAATCTAGGCAAAAATTGTTTAAACTTTAAAATATTAAAAACAAGCCAGGTACTAATGGCTCATTCCTGTAATCCTAGCTCCTCAGGAGCCAGCCCACTCAGGAAAGACTGTCAGTCTCTTTTTTCCAATTAAAGAAAATGCTGAAAGTGGTCCCGTGGCCACTTATAAGCAAAAGGCACTTAGGGATAGCACCCAGGCCCATAGTTTGAACCTCAGTTCAGCAAAAAAAAAAAAAAAAAAAGCATGCTTTAAAGAAAATCAAAACTGAACTTAAACATGATATAAAACTAGCACTGATTATTACATTATCACTATCAGTGAGATGTGAATTATAAATTAGAATAAAGGACTAATAAGGATAAAATAAAAAGAAAATTAAGCAGGCTGTGATGCAACGCGTGTGTAATCTGAGCTACATGATACACTGAGGCTGGAGGATTGCATGTTTGAAACCAACTTGGTGAAAAGATTTAATTAGGAAAGATTTAATTAAGAAGACACAATACATTCAAACTTAGTGGCTTTGTAAAGTGTATTATCTACTGATGTTCAACAAAACACATTGAAAAGTTGGTATCTTCAAACAAATATTTGTTATGTCATAAAATTTCTAACTATTAAGAATTTTGGGCCCAAAGTTTTGGTCCCAGGGTTTTCTTTATTTGCAATAACTAGTACATGTGTAGGATAAGCAGAAAAGGCCAAAAGCTATGTACATGTGACCATATGAGATAATGTTAAGCGAAATGAACCCCAAGCTAGGGATACAAATACCTTTTTTCTTCCTTGCTATTGTTTCTATTGTATTTATAATGTACCATGGGATTTTTTTGTTTTGTTTTGTATGTTCCTTCCCCATGGTATAACCCCTGTTTTCACTATATTTGATGTCGATGCCCTGCATCTTGTATATACACTTCTCTAATTCAGGGAGGGGAAGGGAAGAAGAAAATGCTTAAATAAGGATACATGTTGACGTATTGCAAAATGAGATGTACAAAACATTATGTTGAAAACCAACTTTACAACTTCAGCTGCGGGGGACATGGGTGGTGCCTGTTGGAGGTCGGAGGGGGGTATTGGTAAAGGTGGGAGGGAAGGGATGGTGGGGGAAAAACGAAGGAGGAGGCAAAAGTGTTCCATAGGAAATCTACTCATTATCTTGCTCATGTAACTGTAACCCCTCTGTACAGTATTTTTACAATAAAAAACATACAAAAACAAAAAGAATCTTGGGAGCAGCAAAAAAAGAATCTGAAAGTGTCTTAGCTAGGAGTGTGGTTTCAGGTCTCAGGAGGGCTCCTGCTGTTGCTGTAGTCTACTGCGACTGGAGGATCCACTTATAAGCTTTCTCATGTAGTTGGCAAGCTTCAGTACTTTATAGCTCTTGGACTAGGAGTTTAAGTGCTTAAACACAAGGAACTCACAATTCCTGAGACTCCTTAGAACATGGAAGCTTGCTGTAGTCATAAACTGATGTGAGAAAAAACACCAATGTTTTACTTGTAGAATTGATATATTATCAGATCTCTCTCATTGTATTAGGTGCCTACAGATAAATAAACCCTGGAGCAGTGGATAAGGGAACTCTATATAGGCTAGGAGTCTCAGGAGATGATGGGGATCAATGGGCCTCTCAAAGAGATAAAGCCACAGAAAAGTTCCTCATTTATTTTATAATGATAATGCAATCTTTATTCAGAGCTAAACAATGATAACATAAGGAAGAGATTTCAAACAGACCTCACAAATGAAAATAAATTCAAATTTCTAAAGACACTTGGATAAGAAATGTGTATTAACAATGGTCTGAGAATGATCCCAAGAGTATAAAATCTAAATTCAAATTGTAGTCAAACCTGGCTCACATGCTATAAAGATGGAAACAACATCATTTTGACTAAAATACAGAAAAATATTCAAAATAAGATTATTGTTCTTTGCAAATACCTGCAAAGCTCATAAAATCCATTATCTGAAAATTATTACAACTAATGAGTTCAGAAGAGCAACCAAACACACTCAACTCATTGGGATTCCTAAATTACAGAAAAGCATTGATACAAGTACACTAATAATAACATAACATCAATAGATACAGAAGGAAATCTTTGGCATTATAGTGACATAAATGGAATATCAATTTGATAGGAAGATTAAGAATTGTGGCAAGGTCATTTGATCAAAATGTATGCATACATGTAAGTAACACAATGAAACCCATTTGTACATTTAATTTAACAAAGAGCCAGGCATTTATATTTCTTTAATATAAAAACTTGGTGTATTAGTCCTAATTAAAAATTTCAATGAGATTTTAAATACAAAATTTGATAGGCTAAGTTGAAATAAAGTAAGGCTTCTTAAAAAAATGTTTGCTAATGGAGAAAAAAAAACGTCTTTCTAGAAAACAAAATATGCTATGAAATGGCAGAAA